TTGCCGACATAATTTTTAAAACCTAAGTAAATGAAACCTTATTACATGTACTTTTCAGAAATAAAAGTTTTTTTTCGTATCTTTTACCGTTTCTTTTTTTATTAACCTTTTAAATGTGGGACTCCATTCTGCCGCACCCTGTAGATGTTCAGAAGAGCTCTCTCTTCCATTTAGGATAGAGAAGATATAGTACTTGAGAGGCTGGGATTCTACTCTTCCCAAATCCCGTGCACTGCTGTAATAAAAAGATTAACTTCAGCATTTAATGATTCCCTGAGTCATATATTATAAATATATATATATTATAATTTCATGTTTTCCATATATATATATTCTCAGATTGCATAATGAAAGAAGACGGATGGTAAGAAAACCCGATACTATACCAGGAAAGCCAGTATTTAATAGTATTTGTTGGATGCAGGGAACAAGGGTTCCATCTAGTGAGGAATCCTGGTACTGCAACTGCAGGATGGTCAGCTAAAGTTTCGTATGGATGGTGTGGTGTTAATTTTTCATAAACTTGATATCATGTACTTCATGTCAGTTGAGGTGATGTCTAGTTAATGTAAAATACACGTAAACTTTGGTGACGTAAATATAGGAACGTAAATTTTACGCAAAAGTGATGTCATTTTCCTGGCAATCGCAAGAAATTTACTTTTTTGAAAAAAAAATTGATATCTTGTGTAAGAAAACATGCTGCTTGGGCTCCTATGTGCCCAATATCAATAGTTTATGAATCTCATAATTTTTTAATTGCATACACGAATCGTACGTTCTCCTTTGGAAACGGTGGAGCTGTTTTAAAATCACCCTAGGTCATCCGGTCAATAACAGTCCCCTCTATCGGGATACAACGCCATCTTCAGAAAGCGAAAAAACCTCTTAGACTCATGAACCTTTCTGTCAAGTATCAGCTGCATCCAACTGTCCCTTGAAAAGTGAAAGTTGAAAAGTTCATTGAATTCTGAGACGGTTAGCATAGGTTATCACCTCACTTGAGGTGGAATGATCTACCTCTAAGCAACTTTAATTCACTTCTAAATGGGCATTGCGCGACTTAGGCAGGGGTGCTGGCAAAAGCTGGCAAGTATTTCAACATCTTGTAACTTTCAAATATTGATCGCGTATCCAATGTAATTTTTTTTTTGCTGCATGATATGAAACTGTGTTTCTCCCCTAGAAAACGGTAGAGAGTTTTTTTTTTTTTAACCACATATATAAACAAGTGTTATATATTTCACTGAAATACATGCACATCACCTAGATATTGCATAAGGTATGGTGGGTCCTCTATTTTTCTCATCAACTGTAAATGTTGAATGTTATCAACACATCATTCAGAAATTCATTGCTGAATTCTCAATTCGCTCAATACTCAATTCAAGTTCCTCAACAAAAAAAACCGCAAATAGGGTTGCACGACTTTTGAAACTCCCTGTATGTACGGTGGAGTACGTTGTGGTGTTTCGCTTAAGTAATCATATGGTACAATAGTGCATTCTGGAGCGGTCTATAAAGATCTATTATTTTCACGTAGGCAAACGGAAAACCATACATGGTATCGATAGCAAATTGAGAGTATCACATGTAATATGTGTATGAGAGTTTAACGAAGTTATGAGAGTTTAAGTATTGCTCATAACCCAACTGACGGTTACTTTCCGCCCCGCGTCAAATGTACTCTTATTTCCTTACGCCTGCCTGCTCTGCTGAACTCGGCAAGGGCGAGTCCGACCGTGACGTCACCGTGACGGTGACGAGGGGTCGGTTAGCATCACAAGGTACTCTTGATTTAGCACAATAGTCGGGATCGTATTTGAGGGATCGTATTGAAAAAGAACATTTTGCGTTTTAAGTCTACATTGTACTTGGAAGGAATATAACAAAGTTGCTTCCGCTGCAATGAATATTTTTTAAGCTGGAAAAATGAATTTGACAGAAAATATAAAAACTGTCGGCTATGATCCCATTTTAATTGAGATTTTTACCACCTCTTGCACCTCAACTACGAAGTGAATCTAATTACCTGAATTTCTTGAATAATTAGGGAGTGACAGCAGTTCAAGTCGTTCCGGGACACAGGAAAGGTGATCTTTGATAAAGTATCCATTAAAATGAACGAATGTCATATAACGAAAAATACGAGTTAAACGAAATTAACCAAACAAGATGTACGTGCTCATTTCATCGACATAGCAATTTGCTTTGGTAGTGCCCATTACCATTCTTCAACCCCTCCGGCGACAAAATTCAACCGTCTGGTATTTCTCTCTGAGAGCATCAAGAGGAAGGAAATTGAACATATTTCTTCCTCTCTCAACGCGGAATCGCTCCACCAAATTTGAAGATCCATCTCCCCTGGATTGAGGAGATCGATGAATCTCGCTTTAGGAGATGTAAATTTCTTTACGGTATTTTTTTCCTCCCCCCTGGGTAGCCGCTCCTGAGAAGTTTTTGGAGGAAGGAGACGAACCAAACGAAAGAAATTGACTTGTAGGTAGCAAAAAGTTTCATTTTTGTTGCTTCCAGTACACCATTTCGTCATTTAAAAATGAAATTGGATGCGTTAATTTAGGCTTAGCGCGATGGCTCCGGTCCCGTCCTCCAATGTTGCCGGGTATCGTGCCTTAGTTATGCCAGATTCATGACTTCTTCGGCCTTAGCATTATTTCTGGATCTTCCCTTTTTAATGTAGGAGACATTGTGCTGAATTCATGAGATGAACTAAGATTGAAACGATGTTTTGGAATGGCCGATGGATTTAGTGTAATTCGGAGATATCACATCCGGACATCCCTAAATTAAAATGATGGCGGCCAGCTTGTAAGTCGTGCGCCCTAAAGACATTCTCATCTCGGAACGAGTCGAGACGGTTTTAGGAATTCTGGATAGCTCCCCGACCGCACTGAAATGGTTCATTAAGCTCGTAAACGACCAACATTCGGTGTAACGTTACACTTCCTCAACGATGTGTATCGAAGACCAGGGATGAATCCTTATTGGCCTAATTGGTCCGTAGGTCAAGGTTGAGTTTCTTTTGAACGAAAAGAGGAAGACTATGCTTGACCGAAGGAAAATCCACGGTTAGGCCTAGGAATAGTGTTAATGAGTTCCGTAGAGAAAGGGAAAGGTGATGGTGGGTTGAGGTTGAAGAAAGGTAAAACCTGTGAAAATTAGTTTTCACATTACTTCATATCTAAATTTTCCGGACAATCTGCAGGATAATTACAAACCGTTCAAGAATTCGAAATTCCTAGTACAAAACAACTTCATATGTGTTAGATGTTTATTTATGCTAAATTTAATTCAGATAAATATAAGTTGAATATAACCTGCAAGCAAGTTCCTAAGCCGATCGAAAGAGGAGGGGGAGGGGAATAAATATATAGTTCTTTCACAAGAAAAGAACAAGGAATCGAAAGCGAAGTTGGAAATGATAAAAAAATTTTTTTCGAAGGAAGAGTGAATGCAAGAATGACGATCAAGGTGCAGAAGCAATTCGGGTCTTACTTCGACGACTGGAGTGAAAGCTGCTCCCGACTCCAGCATCTTCTTCATTGCGTCATCATCGTCGCGATGGTTGGGGTTGTCGAATTCGTCGCGATCTCAACGGAGACGACATGGGACAACGTGGAGCCTAATCGTTTTTCTTGGACTATTTTCGCGTACTGTTTGCGGTTTTTGTCGCTACTTAATCTGCCCATGTGCGTGGCGTCGTTCCTGGGTCTCACCATGTACGATGCCTTCCCCGACCCCGTCCGGTTGAGGGCAGACCCGGATTCCCTACCATTCGTTGTCGTGCGAATCGTGACCCGAGGGGACTTCCCAGATCTCGTCCGTCAAAATTCGCTCGCGAACCTACGCGTGTGCAAGGAAACCGGTTTACGTCATTACTCAATAGAGGTCGTGACCAAGAAATCCGTTCAACTCCCTAAGATGGTACATCTGAGAGAGGTCGTCGTTCCGGATTTTTACGAGCCTTCTAGCGGATCCATGTACAAAGCTCGACAGCTGCAATACTGCCTGGAAGACGGGATCAACGAGTTGGGAGACGAAGATTGGATTCTGCATCTGGATGAAGACAGTGTGCTCACCCCAGACGCCGTGAAGGGAATGATGAACTTCATTCACGACGGAGAAGCCCATTTCGGAACGGGCCTGGTAGTGACCACTCGAGGGCCAGTTTCTAACTGGATGACGACATTGGCTGACTTGATTAAAGCTGCCGACGATATGGGGAGAACTCGGTTCCTACTCAAGGCATTCAGGAAGCCCTGGTTTGGTTTTAAAGGTTCATTCTTGCTAGCCAACGTAAGTTGCTCGACTTTGCCTTCACCTACTTCTCCCGCACGGTATTAGGTTAGGAATTAAGAAAATTTGGTTTTTACTTAGAAAATATGCGTAGTAGCATTTGCTAAGAGTGGAAAAACGGTATAAGCAGTAATAACCTTATTTTATCATTATCAGCAAAAAATACAAATTAACGTTTTTCTGGTCTGGATGCGTGGCTTAGAAAAATGTAACCTTTTGGAAAACCTTGGTATCTTTAGTATTGTCACCTTTAACCCTGCTCTTTCATCACTCAATACAGATTCAAATAAAAATACTGAACTACTTAAAGTGATTAAAGATGTTAGTCTCCACTTGTCAAATGGCTTTGGATTCTACTGCTAACTTTCAGTGACTGGAACCTACATCGTGATTCATATAATAGGGACCTCCCAAATAATTTCTTAGAATTCTTATACGCATTATTCTATTTACATGAAATTATGAACGATTGTACAGAAGTTCAAAAACAAAGTATCATAATGATAGTCAGCCCTATTAGTAATCTCCTCGTTCCCTAATGTTTACTTTATCTTAAACATTTGATGCCATGCTGGTCTTCTTCACTGAATGCCATTTTTATTGGGTATGCTGCAACCGATTTATAATGACATCATTAATTACTATCATAACCATCGACTAAAAGTCAACTTTTATTCTCAATTTCCGGTAATTCTCTATTAGCCTTCTTATATTCAAAATTTCATGTAATTGTACTAACAAATATATGAGTTACAATAATATGTTTAGGTGGTCCCGATTTTACGAATCACGGTGTGTATTACAATCGACCAACGGAGATAGGGACTACCTTCACATGGAAGGTTGTAGTTCTGGGCGTGCCTTTTTTTCGTAAATCTAAATGCAAAGGTAAATGCTGAACCTTAGGAAGTACTGTAATTCGATTTTCAGCTCCAGGCATTCACTCTCACGTTTCATTCAAACTTGTACCTAGTCTGAAACGGTTAAAGAAAAAAGGAAATTACAGTCCTGTTTCACATTTTCATTCGCTGAAGCCTGAAACAGAGTGCGAAAAAGGGACGGAAGTTGTTCGTGATCTCAGTCGAAGTAATTCTAGTCCTGGTCATGTCACTAGGATTCTCTTTGTTGGGAACTTTGGCACATTATTCCAAAAGTGAAATAGCGAGTTTTTTATTATTTTAAAAATGCTACAAACTGGACATTTTAAAGTAACAGCATAAGTCATAGCTTCACGGAAAGAGCATTGAATTTGGTCCAAGTTTCGTGTTTTATTATGTTTAAAACAGAAAATGTAAGTTTCCACAGTGGGTGAAAAATGAAACATTTGGACTTTCAACTTTAATTTCCCAGTGTTTCAAGCCAAGCAAGTAGTTGAAGTTTATATATTTCCATTTTTGTTGCCTAGAATTCCAATGTTGCAAAAGCTGATTGTGTTACTGCGATTCCTATAGTTTCAACTTTTCATATAAAATTTGAAGTTTTTCGAAAAATTAAAAATTCATTGGTTGTTAGCGATGAAATTACAGAACCTTGCTACAGCGAATTCTGATTCAGCGGTTCTTAGCTTTCATTTCAATCCAAAAACTATTTTTAAAAATCTCAATTTAGGGCCAAAGATAGCCTTTTGATCTGTGGGGTCACTATTCCCAAGAGGAGCTACCTTTGGAGTTGAATATCTTGAGAACCGTTTGAGCCAGAGCGCTGACATTTGGGTTTTTCATAACTCAGAGAGGTATTCATGCATGGAATATCTCGAACATATCCCTGTCGGACGCGCAAGCGAAGTACCCGAAATTTGATCGCGTGAGCTGGATTAACTCTAAACTACTTCTTTTTAAACCCTGGTGTCTGCCTGGAGCTCCCCCGCTCGAATAAACAAAGAATTCCACAAACGGGAAGCGAGTGCTGTCATCAAAAGAAATAAAAAGAACTAAAAAATCATAATGATAATAATAAAAACAAGAAAAAACATTTCAAGTTTTACCCAAGTTTTTCGAGGAGAACCGAACCCAACTTGCCTTTATATTTTTTTTTACTTTTGGCCTTGTGTTATTCTCATCGACAGGCGAAGGCTGAACGCATCGTGTCATTCGATAATGGACCCGTAGGATCCATGACAGAGGATGCTTACTTCGCCATGAAAGGCATCCAGGAAGGCTTCAGGTTCGGCTTCATCGAGGGAGAAGTGTTGGAACAGTCTCCGTGCACGCTGGGCGACTTTCTGCGGCAGCGAAAGAGATGGATGCAGGGCCTCACGCTGACCGTCTCCTGCCCCAAGGTTATTACCGTCCACACCTCCGACTGTATTGGTTATCATATCAGAGATAATCATGACTTCTTGGAAATTCGTGAGCGAAGTTTCTGGCATTGCATGAGTTTGTCACGGATTAAAGTACAATTCTCTGGAGTATAAAGGGAAATTGTCCAACGACGATCTCGAAAGCTTTTCCAACAGTCAGGAGAGTGACATGTAAATTCCTTTTCCGTTTTTTCAGCATTTCTGCATGTGCTGCTAATGTGAACTAAAGGTAATTCCCCATAACGAAAAGGTATGAATAAGTGAAGAGAAGAAAGGCCGAGAAGATTCATGACTTCCCAAGTAGGACGTAGATGGCGGACCACCAGTTGGAAAATATTTTAAAACCCGTATAACCTACATACCCGTTCGCCTTGGAGCATCAAACATGAAGCTCTTTCATACTTAATTTTCTCCTTTACATTCAACACTAAACCCAGAGAAAGTGAACGGAATCTCGCATCATGCATCATACACTGCATCATATAAAAACTGAAGATATACGTATCAAAGGATATATCGTGTACTCTTTCTATTCCCATAGTTAACTTCAGCTTTTAATAATTCCATGAGTCATACACTGCAAACAAAATATAATAATTCCGCGCTTTTCTAATATTTGTTAAGAAAATGCACAATAAAAGAGGGAAGAGGTGAGGAAACTCTTTTGCTGAATCAGGAATGCACGTTCTTAATTTCATTTGAATGGTGCAAGGAAAATGAGTACCATCAATTGGGGACTCTTGGAACATCATCTTTCACCCCGCTTAATACTCTATGTGGGGAGTGCCAGGTACATTGTAGAAAGAAAGTAGGTGGCCCACTACCTACACCTGATAGCCGGCCATCTACTGCATGCTCCGCTTGCCGCCACAGGCCCGCCACAGCCAGGGCCCCAGCACATTCATGATGTACGACATCCTTGAAGAGATGGCCCGCTGGCTGATTCGGTATTCTAAACCCCACGTTACTGCCTTCGTATGAAATCCGCCAGTTATGAAGTGCCTCGACTGACTGTGGTCCTCTATTTTTATGTATGCTTGGGTTTGCGTCCCAAGAAGTCAAGAGTGATCCAAAACTCGTCCATGGACAGTCCAGTTGTCCAGAAATGGGTATAAGTCGAGAGGCGGTCCCCCTTTGGATAGAATGCCATCGTCATGGATTGATTTATTCTCCTGCATTCTGAGCTTATCCGAGCAGAATTTCCCAACATCGAACACTCACTTATTTCCATTTTATTGAATGAAGGTTTTATGGCCTGGCATTACGAGCATCCGATCACGAAATTGATTTTGTTCTTTTTTTTCTTCAAATCTCTCATCTTATGTCATAACCCTTTAACTTCACTCATTATATAGATAGTGTGACATGATTGGACCAGTGCATGATTTCATTTCGGTTTCGACATTACGAACCGAACGATATGTCAGTCCATCTTCAGACATCCATAGGACGTTCAGAAAAGGAACTTCCAAGTACAACTTCTTACCGTCTTCCATTGGATGTTCTTGGATGGAATCCCCGCCCCGTTGAGGCCTTCCATCTGGCCTGACATCTAGCAGTTCTTTTAATAAATATAGGGTTCCCGTAATGTAAGTGAGGTCGCGCTCATCCTGCCGGTGTATGTCTCTCGATTCCCTAAATGCTAACGAATTGTTGGGCAAAAGCTTTCATCCTCTACTCGATAATTTTCAACGTACAAGCCTAAGGAAAGAAGTCATTCTAATTAATTCATTTGTTGAGGACGTAACGTAGCTCAAAGAGACTCCCTGCAATTCTTGCATATTGTATGGAGTGAGTGTGATTCTCCTTGTCAAGTACATTTATTCCATTCTCCTTGTGTCAAGTGCCCTTTGTGATGGGAAAAACGATTGTTTTGATAGGGATATGAGAAGGAGAAGTTGTAAGTTTCGTCTCAGTAAAACTTCATTTTCCATCCAAACGCTTCTCTCTTTCTAACAAACGCGAGAGGGCGAGATCGTCAATGTATAGAAAATATACCATTTCCACGTTATGAATATTCATGAATTGCAAATTTTGCTCTATTGCTACCTGCGGATTAAATTGCTGCACCCTTCTACGGTCATCCAAAAGCTTTCCCAAAAGGGATCTCGAATGGATCCAAGGAGACGGCCTTCCAATAGGCCATCCAATGGACATATCCAAGGATTATCATTGGACGAGACATTTAGTCATCCAGTGGATGTCCGAGGAGCAGTGACTTAGCCAGGAAGTAGTTTCGCGGGGTATTTTGTGAGGCTCTGTCAGGCTCATGAGATGACAAAATGGCCGAGGAAGGTAAGGGGTTGGGAGGAGTGAGGATAACTTCGGAAGCCTTCACCCCACCCACTTCGTAGTTCAAAAGAGCCCGGTTCTCTTCCCAAAATTTCAAACATTTTCGCATGAAAAGAGATATAGGTGAAGGACTGACCTTGACTTAGTCATAATATAGTGGAATAAAGAGCTGCTTCTGAATCATGGTTCGCTATCGGAACTCAAAAGTCTGGTAGAGCAAAAGAAGCAAAATGGGAGGAGCACTGTTTTGGTTAGGAGAGATTGTTTTCAGAAGGTAGATTAGAAGTGCAAGTCGAAACTTCAGTTGTACAGTATATGTAATTCTTTTCACCCCCCCCCCCCCCCATCTCTCCACTCCCACTTCCATTTCCACTTCTTTGTTTCATGATATCTTGCTTCTTTTCGGGGGGTGTCCAGAAACCCAGGACCCGCCCCCCGGCTACGTACCTACCGAGTAGGATGTAAATTGGACGTCCAAGTGTCCTTGATGGTAAATCCAATGGATTTGTTTTGGTTCAAAATTGGTACTTGGGGTCGAAGAAGTTACTATTGCTAGGCACAAATTTCACGGCTTTGAGATACTGTTACTGAAATTGTCCTACAGTAGCTTCTTTCCAAATAGGAAATTGCAAGAAAATTTTCTCAACTGTTACCCAATTCTTTCGTCTCACACACAGATTCATTGGAGGACGAAGATTTGGCTGACGATATTTTATTTATCGTGGCTATTGACTCCACTCATCTTATTGAATGGACTGTTCTCCAAGTTCCCAGACCCGACTCCAGGAATTTTCAAGTCGATCTTCACTATTGGAGAACGAAGATATGGCTGACGATATTTTATTTATCGTGGCTATTGACTCCACTCATCTTATTGAATGGACTGTTCTCCAAGTTCCCAGACCCGACTCCAGGAATTTTCAAGTCGATCTTCACTTTCAACATCGCTATTTCTACCTACTACTACCTGTACGGCACCCTGAAAAACGAGAAGTACTTGGGGATGGCGCGTTCTTTCCTCATCCTCCTCTGCCTGCCTCTCGTCATCCCCTTCTGCTCGCTGCTGGAGACCGCAAGCGTCGTGTATTCCTGGTTTGGGCATACGAATGACTTCTACGTCGTCAAGAAAGTCACTCGTGTTCTTTCCTCATCCTCCTCTGCCTGCCTCTCGTCATCCCCTTCTGCTCGCTGCTGGAGACCGCAAGCGTCGTGTATTCCTGGTTTGGGCATACGAATGACTTCTACGTCGTCAAGAAAGTCACAACGACGAGACACGAGGAAGTCTGAAACGATGGATTTCGTGCATGCACAATATGCACTCATTCAGACGATTGTGGGTGAAAAAAATTACAATCGCGGATTGGCGGCCATTTTTTATTGCAGTTGTTATTGTGAAAATTTCAGGATTCAGTGAACCGCTGAAATCTAAGACTTGCAATTCGTAGGAGTCTTTCTTGAGTGTCCTGGGTAATTTATGAGGCCATGTAGATAAAAGTTTTGTGAAATCTTCCATTTGATCCTGTGACCCGTGAATAGGAAAAATATTGGCATTCGGATATTGCAGAATTGTTGGGAAAGGTCGGCGGGCAGCAGAGAAGGACCTCGCAGGGCGTGGGTTGCTCATCACTGCTTTCGATGAAGCAACACCGCAAATGAAAAAAGAGGCTATATGTTGAGAGAATTCAATGGATTCCCCCAAAGCACGTCAAATGGTTTCCTTCTAATACTTTGTAGCCATTGCTACCAGTTTTCTTGATTGCGTCTCTTTAAAAGCTAATTCTTTTTAAAGCTATTTCAAGAGAATTTGATCGAGCGCACAATAGAGGAAGTTATGAAATATGCAGTCCAAATGATAATATGTGAATCCTTCTTAGGGTGAAACTCCAGATGAGAATGGTAAAGTTCTTCTAGTTTCCATTTAATTGGTTAATGAAATAGGGAATTATTTGACTGCCGTGGTCCCACCCACTACTCTCAAAGCTTGAGTCGTGACCCATATCACATCTGAAACTGTTCGATAACGGTAACCGAGACGTGTAGCGTGGTTCCAAAGGCTGCAGAGACCAGTCGCGCGGAGCTGATGAGAAATTGAGTAACCTGGTTGAGCACGGCCATTGTGGTATAAGACCCTTCACAAGGAATCCCTTAGCAGAATGAATAAACTGGGAGAATTTTGAAAATAGTTCTATCGAAGAGTATATGCAATTGTCGAAATGTTTAGACCTGTTCATTGATCCAGTTCTTACAGGAATTCCTTATATAACGAAGCCTTAAAAGTAATTTCCATGCGATTCTTCAACTCATAGCCCTGAAATTAATCCATGGCCTTGAGCCACTTAAGTGTATATTTCCTAATAACAGCATGAATACAGAAACCATTAGTTCAAAGTTATTTTACTGTCCCTCCTGAATGCTAGTGGAAAGTATCATCTCCTTCACTTGCGATTTATACACGCTGTTGTCAATTTTGTCATGCAAGCCAATACTGTGGAATATGACCATCTTGATTTGGGCGATATGGATGCATCATTTCAAAGTAGCACCGCACTGACCTATTGGTAGTGTAAACTTTTATGTGCGACCTCAGGCAGCAAAAGATCATCCCATGCGCTTCCTTTGGATACATGGATAGACGTACTGGACATCTGGTCGAAATATGCATGAGGATACGCACATGCACCGCGCATACTGGACATCCACTCGACGTACTCTAGACATTTTTGTGGCACATAATTTGAATGCAATTAAATATCCCTCATGCAAAAAGTTAAAAGGGAATTCTATAGGTTTTTTGTCACTATTTATGCATGCATGCAAAAATTGCGCAACGTTTTGCTTGAAATATAAGACATTTTCTTTCATACCCTTAGCGCATCTTCACTCTTATCTTTGCTTGATCCCTCTCCTTACACCCACAGTGTAGAAGAAGAAGAAATACTGCAACGCAGATCAACAAGGCCTAGGCCCGAACAAAAAGAGGATTTCAAAGTTCAGTTCAACTCATGGCCTCTATGAACAGGACCTTCCCACCTAAAATTCAATGCTCGCCGATCACGTCTTTTTCGAATATACGGGAAACTTGAACAAATGGGGCTCATTTCTGCTCCTGTTCGAGGAGTTAGGGACCGAACACACTGGCATCTCAATGCAAAGTAGGAGGAACGGGACCCTCAGCATGGAGTAAAGATGGCTCCATCACAGCTTATCATTGTGCCTATGGGTCGTCCTTGCCTGAGAGCTAGAGCGTCTTCGATTTACCTTGAGCGGGACTGGTTAGGATCGCGAACTCTGGTAACATCTTGTCATTGACAGTTCCTTGGATGAAAAACAGATGTCATTCGTGTTGCACCACCATCAGCGCCCTCCCCTACTCCAGTGGTGGGGGTGTGAATTCATTCGATAAGCACTGTTCACGGGCTCCATTGCATAAATCACTGCCATGGGGAAGCCCGGGGGTAGAAGAAAATAATAATTTTGGAAGAGAGATCTGAAGGAATGGAAGACCTACGCAGGCTTTGGTGCTGATAAAACAGGTGAACCAGACTGAAAAACTAGCTTTGCAAGATTCTAATTTCATCGGAGTGGGAGTAAGGCGTGGAAGAATATCTGGCAATGCTGCATAGATTTGGCAACGTAGCACTCAGGTCTCTTCTCTCCTACCTAAGTCTCATTCCGTTCCCTGCTAGACTGCTCTTTCCCCTTTGATTCCTCCATTCGGCTCCCAGCGAATAGGAGCAGGTAAGGCCAGGGAGGCTGGTCTAGGTTGGAACTGCGCATGCTCCGACTTATTTGAGACATGGGGGAAGCTCGGGCCCAAAAGTCCTGTAGCACATAGCATTCTTTTATCCTTTTCTTTACTGGTTTCCAGTACATCGCCAAATTTAATGACTCTTACGAGGAAGCCCAAATATTATTCTCGCTAGAGGCATTCTGAAACATTGTCATACCTACGTTTAGAAGTTACGATGGAGTAAAAATGACAAATTCACGGTCTCTTGAGGCTCTCTTTCTTGTCAGGCCCAGGTTATGCCCGGCCAAACGTGCCTACCCCAACGAGTTACCACTGCCTCATGGCCTTGCCTATCCGAACATGTACGGGAGATACTGTATTTAATATGATAAACCGAATGCCTGGGCAATAAGACACTTGACTGGACTCAGCTTGGTGAGACGGCACGAGAGAAAAAATAATTCTGGAAGGAGGGAGAAAGTATCATCCCTTCTTCATAGATATTAAATGAGTAAATATTTCGCCCACTTGGAATGGTTGCCCCTCTTTTTCCCGAAGCTTACCATATTCAAGCGAGGAAAATGAACGACATTTTAATATTTCATTCCTTTATCGCAGCTGTTACAAATTCCCTGCTCCGGAAAAGTGTCCCTGTGTTTATATTACGCAAAGGAAGACTGTTCCGAGTTGTGGGGTTCTGAATCCCAGTATAGGTAGGATATTTCCTCTCGTGAAGATAAACGTGCTGCTCGGAAATATATGCCGCAGACTAGACTCGGAGCTCCAAAATCTTGTCTGAAAAGGATGTTTCAGGGGGCGAACCATTTTGCAAATGCTCGAGAGGGACTGAACGTTGCCTGACCTGATGGAGGAAGGAGGAAAAAACGAAAAAGATATTCTGCTATGATTTCGTGATTGCGATGATTTCGTTTGGCCAGTTTCTGACAGTAAAGATTATGTTCTCTTTTGACAATCGACAAACTTACAATTCTACTTTTAAAACGAACTCCCTTCATTTCCATTAAGGGAGATGGGGAAAAATATCATACGACACCGGCCATGAATATCATGCAGAATTTTTTTGAACACATTGATTTCTACTCCGTCTTGCGACTTCGCTCATCGGATGTGGACGGGAAAGAACCATATACAAGAATTCATTGTAGACGGTATCCCCTACATGAAATTGCATAAAGCGGGGGGAAAATGGATTCAGGCACGGTAATTAATATCTCAATTACGTTTTTGTTTCTTAGAATCTTCATTGTGTCCTGGGAGGCATAAGTGATATCTGCCGAGAAGATAATCAAGTATGCCGAATCCATATTCCTGCCCTCATTCGTATACGGCAATACCACCGTTACAAAGAGGAGCCACATAATGCTCTTCCTCCGAACGCTGCGAGCATTCAAGACTTGGCGAGAAATTTCCCCGGTAAAGTGCCCGAATCTGAATTTTCAGCTTCGTGGGACGTACACCTCGGAATATACTGTACACGTTCCTTCGCAAAAAAAAAACAACGATGGAACCTCCATAACTTACTCATTCCAATACGGAGTCCAAGTGGATTCTGCGCAGCTGTGCGCTGATTGGCTGTGGACGGAGAGCCGTTGAGTTCGGGAAACAATGCCACGTGCTCCAGTACTCAACAATGGACCGCGAAGGGTTGCCTCGCTTCTCCCTCCTTTATCTCGAAAACGGTCTGGTTTTCGAAAAACCGCATTCAAACATGATTTGTAGCGCAGAGTCTGCCCTAGCCAGTGGTATATATTTTTTGGCTGTTTGACCATATTTAAGGAAGACAAACGTACGCAATTGATAATACCTCTTATCATATGTCTCCCTTTCCATCAGACGCCGTCCTTCTCCCCCTACATCTCAACAATAACACAATTGACGAAAAATCACTTTCTCACAAGATTTGTAGTTCAGATTCCACTCTAACCGGTGGTATAAATTTTGAAGCTGTGAGGCTTCATTTTAGTATAATACTCCCCCAAATAGGACCATCCTCGATCTCACCTCTCCCGGGAAGTCAGGCAACGTTCCGTCTCTCTCTACAAGATTTGTAGTTTTGATTCTACCCTAACCGGTGGTATAAATTTTGAAGCTGTCAGGCTTCATTTTAGTATAATACTCCCCCAAATAGGACCATCCTCGATCTCACCTCTCCCGGGAAGTCAGGCAACGTTCCGTCTCTCTCAAGCATCTCCAAAATAGCTCGTCTCATCAAACATCCTTTTCAGACAAGATTTGGAGCTTAGTACCTGTTTCTTTACTATTTTTTCCTATCTGCTTCATGTATTATGTATTTGTTAGAAAATGAACAGTGAACATGCATCCGCCTGATCGAATTCATTTGCTATTAGGCTTACCATTTTTTTTATTAGGGGCACACAACTTACCTCATGGCCTTTTCCATCCGAACATGCATTGCAGATGCTGCTCTTTGCAGGGGAGTTCAATAATTTCCAGGATATTTCTTCCAT